ATACCATGACAAAAAAAAGCCTTCTAATCCTCCCAGGTTCTCATTGGTTCTCCAACTTAGATAGGTTCATGATTGAGATGAAATTCAACAATCTCTGCAACCCCATCGTAATAAATAGGATTAGAATGTATATAACAGGATGTATAATTTTTTCACAGCAACTTAAACTCTCTTGAGATTTAAAATCAAGGAAGTGACTGAGAATGTATTTGTTCATATGAGTACAAATAACTTTTCCCTCCTAACTCTAATTTATGTTGTCAGTGTTCTGATTGGCTAGTAATCGGGTAAAATTTCACCGTTTTTAGCTATTTAAGATCATTTGTATAAAATCAGTTCCATCAAATAACCATCTGTGTTCATGATACTTTATGTAAGTTTATCATTATGACTGAAAATCAGCTGATGCCACGAGAATTAACTTTTTAGCAGATAACAATCTTGTTTCAGTGTTGTTCTTGGAGGACTTGTATGAAATAATTTTGATGAGAAGTCTCCTGAGCATTTCAAATAATGTAAAAATGTTTGAGAAATATTTTACTCTCTTTCTGAATGCAAGATTTAACTCAAAGGTTGAGATGTGTTAATATTTAACCTGATCATATGGGGAGTAAAGTAGTTGAGTATGTCAAGCAAATCACTTGATCTTAAAGTTCCATTATTTATGATAGACTAGAGGCTGACAAAATCAACAGAAGCTACAGCAAACTATTTGTTCAACTTTGAATTACTTTAGTGCTATGAAACATATTATTTGGAAAATGTGAACAAGTCCATGTTTCTAGAATAAGATTAAGGATTCTTTTGAAGAATCGCTCGCTAAATAGCCAAGTGAGCAATGCTGAGGGCAAATGTAAAATAATGAATAAATATGAGAAATTAGTTGATTAGACCTTAAACATTTATCAGCTGAGGTAATTGACACATACTTTACCTAGAATCAGTTACGATCTACTCCAGTTTAACATACTTGCTAGTATAGCAAAGTAAGTTGTAAGAAGGTTAAAGCCAACTAGCCCAAGTCATGATGATTAACAATCGATGAATTCATTAACCACTGAACTGAGCTAATAGTAATTAAATTTGAATTTCAGTTAAATCACCTACCAGGTATAACCACACGATTTTAAAGTTATTAAAAATGTATAATTCCCAAGACATTAAAAGGCAATCAAACAGTTAACGAATACATTCATTTTTAATCAATAATTATATCAGTATGGGGACTTGTGGGGATTGTAGTATTTTCACAGTTGAAATCACAAGTCGATTTAAATTAAACTACCATTAAAAACCTGTAAGCACTGGACGGTCGTTTAATCTTAGTATGGGACTCCTCAACATCCTCAGCATCCACGATCACGCATACAAGACTCGAAGACACGAACGTTTAATCATTAGACCACCGAATCTGGATCCAATGATATTAATGTTTAATATCAACCAATCTATGATCTTGCGTAACCCTTCATCCATTATCTGAGGTCAATAACCACCATTTCACACCCGACACAGTTTGGACTACACTGGTCACAGTTTCTTACTAGGATTCTAGGGGTTACACATCTTGAAGAAGTTAATCACTTGTGACAACATGATTGTTATATCAGTATGCAGATTTATAGAGACTGTAGTATTTTCTAGCTTAGATCGATTCGTGATTTCAACTATCAATTATTATATGTTATCTTTAATGATTATCATGTAAATGAGATAATATAGTAATTATTTATACTACAGTGTGCCAACTGTCCAATTTGTATGCATAAATTAATTAACCAACTATATATAATATCAAAGAATTTATTTTATTAAAATTTATTCATATACAGAATGTTTATTTAGTGATATTTACACAATTAGGTTAAACGGGTACACATCAAACACAAAAATGGAATAAGTAGAACGAATCCATACCCCCCCACACACACACACATGTAGAAACAGAATGACAATATCCAATAATGACGTGAATAAGGTGTATATATTAAATCATCTGTCTCATAGGCAATATGTCTACTCGTTTATTTCAACGTACTTATACATGCATACATATACACATTTTCATTTACATTATATATGTATATGTATATATATCGTGAATATCGACTAGTACAAGTTTTTCATTGTTAAAGGAAATAATGCATGTTACTAACAAGTACAATAATAATTATAGTAATGGTAATATCTATGTATAAGTAAAAATTTATAAGCACAGATAGTGGCTGGCAGTGGAATGCAGGACGTATGTTTCGTCATACTTTGGACTCGTCAGCTGAATGTACCCAGATCCCACTGGCGGATTCAAACAACCAATACAAAAAAATGAAATGAAGTTTCACCCCATTGCATAGGCTAGTGGCTATCTGAACTCAGTAGCCAAATGAATGTGATGGTGTTTGAAGCAAACGGTACTGAGTTCGAGTCCCAGAGTGAATATCAACTATGGGTAGCAGGTACATTTAGCTGACGAGTCACAAATAGGACGAAACGCGTGTCCTGGGTCCCACTGCTAGTTACTATCCATTTCTGTTTATAATACTTGTGACTTAAGGCAACAGGGAGGCAGTCCGCACAGGATGTACATATCCCAATAAGAGACTGATCAATCGAAGTCCTAAATGTTAATGGGAAGATTCAAATAAACAGTACAATGAAAAATCTAAACAAATCATGTTTACAAATTCACTCTTTTCACGATAAAACAACTTCACTACTCATCAATTAATAGTCCTCCAACAACAACATTTTTTCGTGGGTAAAAGAATCAACATACGAAACTGGGTCTGTACTCTGTTCTCACGCTTTCAATTGAAAATAAACGTCTAACATACTAATATGAACTATGTATATATAATAACATTAATAAGAAATTAGTCATATTTATAATATTTATCCATCATTTCAAATTGTCACGCTATATCAGGATAGTCAGATGAAATTATCAAGACGAATCGCAGAGTAATAGAAATAGTAACAGTATCAATGGTATTAAGAAATATTAAGTATAAACAATATGATTCAAAAAGAATGCATTTGAGGAATAAATAGGTGTATGGTTATTTCAAAACTCAAGTGTGGACAAAGGAGTGTATCAGTGTTATTACAACCAAACCGGAACCATTTCAGCCAACCCTTCATAAAACTGGTTGCAATAATCACGGTGATAAAATAAGAGATTAGTAGGGATTGTTGAATTCAAAAGTAGTCAAAAACTGAATGAAGCTACACACTAGGGAGTATTGACAAATCATGGTCATTTAAAATCGAGGATAGACTGAAATTGGAAATATGGACTATTGGGAAGCTGAATTCAGTGATCTAAAAGTAGTGTGATAGTTGCAAGGTATGAAGATTTTTGATTCCATTCCTGAAAAGATTGTGGGTGTGAACATTACATAGGAGTCCCGTGCTATAAAGAAACAACTATCACCAATGCCCCTTGGTTTTTATTATTAACTGTCTAGATAAAATTAGTTTAACATGTAAACTATCCTCAGAATGAAATTCTTATCATTATTCACTCCTACTTGTTTAATTGAAATATTGATATAATATGATGGGATTTGAACTTATAAGTTTTTTTTCTAAAGGTTATGTATTCTCAGCTGGATAATTTAGTCATATCCCTTTTATTGTCTTTTTAGACAACATATTCTTAAAACATATCATCACGTTAACCCAATATTCACTAACCCTCATCATATTTCATTGATTTCAAAGAAGAAAATTGTGTGCTGGTACTATTGTTTAGAAAGATAATGGAAGCTTCATTACTTGATCATCTAATTCAGAGAACATAATACCTTCAAGATCTTCATCCTAAACTATAAATATTCATTATCATCTTAAACTCTCCACTTAATATGTAACTCATATATATCCGCCATTTTTCAATCACTTATTTCACGACCATTAAAATTAAAAAATATTATCTGTTTCTAGGTGAAATTCCTAAAAAATATATCAAACGTTTATCAGATTAATCGGTTTTAGATGGGATACTATATTTTATTACTTTTTTTCTCATACGAATTTATTTAACTGTTATACATTCAACTACAGTTTGGGTATATTGGTGTATATAAGATGGAAAATAATACTCTTGTTTGCCAAAAACATTTATAGGTTAAATACGGACACTTAGAATTTATAAAGATCAGAAACCTAATAATAATATAGACCGGATGGAGTGTGGCTAGCAGCGGAATCAAGGACGTGAATTTCGTCCTCTTTGGGGCTCTTCAGCTGGAAGTACCTGCATCCCACCACTTGTGTAATGGATATGAAATTTAAGTATCAACAACTGAATAACCAATACCAATTTAAATTGAACTAACAATAATATTAGTGAAACTCATTTCCTAATTACAATTCTGTGAACTTGGCTTTAAAACACATAGTCCTATGTAAAGTGATTGGAGGTATTCGACGAGGAACCTTGGACCTAAGTTTCATGTTGGTTGGCACTGGTCAACTAATTGTACGTGTAATGGAAGCAGTCTTGACTCGAATAGCCCAGTGGCAATGTCTCAGACTGTGAAGTCAAGTAACGCGGGTCTGAGAGTCTAGGTTTCAAAATTCGAAGGACAAAAGTGATCTTACAAAATTAAAATTAATAATAGACACAAAACCCTGCACATTGTGACACTAAGGGACACTGGTTTTAATTGCATGAAAAGTTTCCATTCGATCAAGATTGTATATATGTTATGAGGAATAGTATAGACTAGAATAGAATCTGGATCAGAAAAATCGTTTTGTTGAATGCATTCAGCTAACCATACATGGTGGATCACGATGTCTGACCACATAGACCAACAGCCACATGATAATGTAATCAGTAGAGTTCAGTAACATGAAAATGATTACTACTCAGTGATTAAATCGTTCAGAGAAACTGATGATAATTTAGTTCTTGGATAGTGCTAATCCAACTGACAACAATTTGTAATGAAATTTTAAAAACAAGACAAAAAATAAAAAATAATTCAACTTACCTAGCTCGAAATGGCTGGAAATCAGTGGCGTTCTTCCAAACACTACTAGATGAAAATGAAGTATCTGGAAATTTATCAACTGAATTAATTAAAGGGTCTGCACATTGTGGATCTTGACCAGGACCGCGACGTATAACTACAAACAGAAACATATAGTGAATAAACGTTGAGCGAGAAAAATACTGGATGATTGTATAGTAACATGTAATAGCTTTGAGAATAAATACTAAAAATTTTAAAATAATGTCTTATATTAATGAAACTGCAGACAGATAGATTGATAGACATCAATAGAAAAATGTATGCAGCTATGTTGTAACAACCCATCGTACAGCATTATCGACAGGAAATCCAACAAGAAACTACGTAAACAAGTCGACACATTAATATGACTGAAATAATTGAAGAAAATTTTGCCAAATGATTAGATTTGATCAAGAAATGAAAAATATAAGCTTAATATCAGAAGGGGTTTTGTGGAGATTATAGTAATTTCAAAAGTTGAGATCATGAGTCAATTGAAGCTAGACCACCATGGAAGTCCCGCGAGGCGGGGTCTTGGATGCTCACTGCCGAGGAGTATCACAATAGGACGAAACGGCCGTCCAGTGCTTCCAGGTTTTCCATGTTGATCTAGCTTCAATTGACTCATGATCTCAACTATTGATATAAGCTTAAGTTGAAAATTTACGCGAAAGAATCCTTTATGTTCAACTGCAACCGATTGTGATCGATAACAAACCGGATTTTTAATGATATTTATCAAAACGTTTACAACATCAGACACATCTCCGACTAACAGTTAGAAACTCCACAGGCTGACACTATATCTTAGTTTGATCGTCCTTAGCTATTTCCCAACATACTCTTATGTATCAGGATTAGATGGTAATGACTGAACAGCTGTAATGTGAGTGAAAATGACGTCAATTAATAAGGATTCACAATTAATATCAATCAGTTTGGTACTTGTATCTAGTACATTACATATTACCACAGGCCCTGGGTTCGAATACCACAAGCGGTATCGTGGATGAGCACTGACGAGAAGTCCCACAATAGGACGAAACGGCCATCCAGTGCTTCCAGGTTTCCAATGGTGGTCTAATGTCAATCGGTTCTTGATCTCAATCAAAAACTTAATAAACTCCATAACCCTTATACTGATATTTTTCATTCGATTGTTGCGTTATCAAAGATTCTGCATAAGATATCTGTCACTTATACTAAGTGGTTTTACTTTTTTTGAGAATGAGACTGGGAAAACATACCCCTAAAAATTTACTCATTTTTTGCAGATATATATTCTTAATTTTAGATATCATAATGACGATCATGTCACCAATTAGCCATCCAGTACGTTGACTACACGCTCTAGGGTCACAGTCAATTCACAATTTAAGATCATGAGTCAGTTGAAGCTAGACCACCATGGAAGCACTTGACGGCCGTTTCGTCCTATTGTGGGACTCCTCAGAAGTGCGCATCCACGATCTCGCCCCCTGAGAGATTCGAACCTAGGACCTACTGGTTTCGTGCGTGAGTACTTAACCACTAAACCACTGAGCCGGCCGGCACCCAATAGTGTTAATGTCTAAATTCAACTAATCCACGAAATTGAGCCACACATTCACCGTTGTCTTCAGTGAGTTACTATCGCACTGCTAAGGAGTCCCACAATAGGACGAAACGGCCGTCAAGTGCTTCCAGGCTTTCCATGGCGGTCTAGCTTCAACTGACTCATGATCGTAACCATTGAAATTACTACAATCTCCACGAAACCCATCTAATATTAATTCACAATTTAATCAACTTTATTGTGAACAGTTTTATATGAACAGTAAAAACATCAGAGAAAAAAGGTTGTTTACGATTTCATTGTCAAAGCTGTAACATGTGTCATATACCATATATATACATACGTATTTAGTGTATAGTCAGTCAATTAAGTTATCGTTATTAATTAAGGTTAATAAATTAACATGGTGGTGTATGAAATAATAATAATAAAATTGTCAACTGAATGACACAAGGATAGGTACATTGCATCCTGTTTTGATCTAACAGAATAAGTATACACATATATAGAGACATACATCGACATGGAGACACAAAAACAAGGTGAGGGATAAAAATTGTTTGTGTTAAGTTATATCGTTATCAAACTTTTTTATTTAGAGAAAGTACATATTTACACAGAACATCAGAATAAATAAAGTACTATCATTATTATTACAAATGACTATGATGCACAACACACACATTTCCACATTATTGATCAATTAATTAAACAAAATTGTGAAGGAAAAGTTAACGAGAACAAAAAGAAAATACATGACTTGACTAGTTAAATGAACATACAAAAGTGCACATACATACACTTATATATATACGTAAATTGACGAAGAAAACTTAATCAGGACTAAGGTTAATGTATGCTCTGTTTCTATCTCAAGGACAAAATACTGATAGTGTATACAAGTCATACACGCTATAAAATAATCTATAATCCATATGTAATATTTTTATTGAAGAATAAAAGTACGGATATTAATCAATTAAAAGTCTATCAGAAGGAGTTTTGTGGAGATTTTAAGTAAATCCAATAGTTGAAATCATAAATCAATTGAAGCTAGACCACCATGGAAAACCTGCAAGCACTGGACGGCCGTTTCGTCCTAGTATGGGACTCCTCAGTAGTGCGCATACAGGTCTGTTGTGAGATGTCAGCTCACTGAAGACAATGGTGAACGGTGGCGCAATTCCATGGATTGGTTGAAGTTAGACATTAACATGGTTGGATTCCGGTCGGCTCAGTGGTCTAATGGTTAGGCACTCGCGCGCGAGACTGATAGGTCACGGGTTCGAATCTCGTGGGAGGGGGTATTGAAATTAAGAACCTGTCAACAGCAATGACGGTAAATAAGTTTACACTGCATATATTTAATGTAATAAACCAGTGATGATCTTTGCAAATGAGTCCTATGTGAAGTGTACATATGTTTTCTTAGTCAGTCAATCAGCTACATTGTAGGACCAGGCACATATATGCATCGATATAAGTTGTTACACCTCATTAGCACAACAAGATGAATATCAAATTCATAAAAGTAGTTACTTCAATGGTAGTAATGTATAAAAGAAAGATTGTGTATAAGGATATAGTACAGGAAGAAAGAATTAATTCGTAGCAATAAAGGTATAATGTAATTCTAATCTCACGGTTACATACGTTTACTAATTGGAAGTATTTGACAAGAAGTTTTGCTCAACTAAGGTACTAAGGTTTAAGTAACATACTTCACTTATATTAAGTTCATTAGCATTTACTGTTACACAAAATAAGTTGAAATTCACGATTTCTTTTAGGCTACAAATCTAGTGTGATCTGACATTAGGAATTATAAACACTAAACTCATTTTTATTATAAATCTATAATTATAGTACATTACATTTCAAAAGCCAGTGATTTATGGTTCCAAAGTTTGAATAATTAAACCGAAAGCTTTAGTATATTTGGTGTGTAACAAGAAACGGGATGCAGGTCATATGTTTCGTCTTATTTGGGACCATTCAATTGAACATACTTATTTATTCTCAGTGAAATTCATACCTAATGTATATTGCCTCAAATTCTGATGAAGTATCTACAAAGTTACTTTACCATCCCAGAATCCTGATATATCGTCTGATATAACTGATTGATTAACAGATTATTAGACATCTTTCAAATTGTTACTTCCACTGCTACTACTAATACTAATACTACTACTTCATCATGTTAAAATACTTGAATTCATTAAAAGTGAATACTTTTTCATTCTGTTTCTCCTATTGACCTGCTCACATCTATCTCACATTCCATTGAGTTTGTTTATGTTAATTCAACTTACATTTAATTAGTTTTAATACTTATCCATTTTGAAATGATGATGCAAAGTACTAATAAACACATGTTCACTCGTTAAAATTTAATTTTTTATACTATCCAGTTTACTTGATATGCCAACCACTGCCTTGACTCGTGATGTTAGCTGGAGATAGGAGTTAGTTAGTTAGATGCAAAATATCCTATTGGAACACAGTGAGATGAAACTATCTGGACAAATCCCGGATTAATAGAAGTAGTGACATTATCAGTAATAATAGAAAAAATTATATATTGAGAAAATATAAATTGATGAAATACTACCAAGATTTATGAGAAATTTAGAGACTTAAGATCTAAGGGAAGAAAAAGAATGAACGCACATGGGCCATTGCAAACTATTTCGATCCATATCATTCAAGGTTTCTAACCATTGGTCAAGATAATCACACGGACCCACAACGAGGTAGTCTGCAACTAGCTAAATGGCTCACTTCAATGGTCAATGACTTTATAAACTGATACTATATCTTAGTTTAGGCGACCCTAGATTTCTTCCAACCTAAAACTACGTTATCTGTCATAGTGCGTCGAAGTAGTTGGTGGATGGAGACAGGAATAGTTTGGGTGGAAGCTAGAGGCGGTTAAACCATGAAATGGCATCAGTCCATGAATTGATTGATTGTTAGTATAAGTCATATTGATAGGTGTATGACTACCTAAATATGATTCGAGCGATTATCGCAACAAGTGGTTAAAAACATTTGGCAACATGACTCAAAATACACCATGATGGTGCTGATCCATTTGCTTTTTTCCTCGCCTTACATCTTGAGTTTTAAGATCATCTTGTGTTTCTTTTATCTTGTGCGTGAACTCTTCATTATCGAATCATATTGTTTAGGCCTAATATTTTCTATTACTACTGATACTATTACTACACTCCCATTACTCTGACGCTTGTTTTATCTTTCTGCACTGATATACTATTACAACTTGGGTCTATGGATATATGTGTTAGGTTCTGTATCGTCTATGACTGAATCAATTAACTTGCGTATGACAACCACTTATGGATAAATATTGACAAAATTTTAAAAAGAACACAAAAGACCAAGATAAATAAAGCAGTGTATAAAAGAGTAAATAAAACACGTAAAGAATCCCACCCCTACGCATAAATGGTATACATAACCATGGTTAGAAGACAATTATGAAGAGGAAAGAAGCCAATATTAAAGCTTAGATTCATTGCTTCAGTTGACCG